TAATAATAATAATAATAATAATAATAATAATAATAATAATAATAATAATAGATGATAATGATGATGATGATCATCATCATCATCATCAATTCTGGGCCTATTTTAGGAGGCCAGCTTTTCATTTGGGAGTCTTCTTCTACGGTCCCTTCCTCCCTGAATTTCTCCCATCCTTGTCTCCAGCCCTCCCCCCATCATATGTATCAACCACCTTCTGTGTATCTCTGTTTAAAAAAATAATCAAACCAGGGCTGGGTTCAATACCTGATGTGGCTTCATTAACGCTTGTGTGTGGTGTGTGTGTGTGTGTGTTGCACACAACTGTCTGTGGAAACCCTTCCGCTAATCCATGATTCCCAGCTTCAGACCGACAACCCTCTCCAGCCCTTAACCAAGATTATCAGGAAACAAACTTGGTTTGCCCTTGAAAAGGCAGCTGGTAGGCCTTTCGTGGGTCTGATTAGACCCGGAGTGTGAAGGGAAAACGTGCATATGTGTGCACCTATGCGTCTGTGTGTGTGTGTGATGTAAACCTATTTTCCATACATTTGTGTTTCTATTTCTTTTTTTGTTTGTTTGTTTCTTTCTTTCTTTCTTTCTTTCTTTCTTTCTTTCTTTCTTTTTCTTTCTCTTTCTTTCTTTCTTTCTTTCTTTCTTTCTTTCTTTCTTTCTTTCTTTCTTTCTCTGAGTGGCGCATCGTTGGGCGGGCCTGAAGAATGCCCCTCCATCACCTCCCGCCCCTCCCCCCCAAAATAAATAAGACGCCGCTGGAGTTCAGGATCCCAAAGTGTCTATTTGACCCGAAGCGCAGCCAGCTAAGGAGGTTTGCGCGGCGCTTCTTCTGAGCTAATCCTGCTGGCGGGGGTCCCACACCGACAACTCCGACCAAGGAGGCGTGACGAAGCCAGGTTTCCCACTGTCAGATGCGGCTCTCCCACAGACCTTCCCACCCACGCGAAACCAGGGGGACAGAAGCTACTGCTTCGGGTTTCCCCTTGCGCCCTCCCCGGCCTCTCTTTTCGAGACCACCGGCCCCCCCCCGTCCCCTCTCCACGCGCCCCAGAAGAAACCCCAAAACAGCCGGGGTCTCCGGTACAGCCCACAACAGTGAGGATGGCAAGAGGGCTGCAACCCGTTTTGCGCCGGTTCGCCGCATACCAGGCGGGTGGGGGAAGGAACGGGGGTTGGGGGATGGGGGAGAAGGAGAGCCACAGACACACGCGCGCAAACCCGCCTCCCCTTTGCTTCCTCCCCCTAGACAGGCTCGGCCCTCCTCCTACGGGGTAGCTGAGACTACAAGCCAGCCTCTTCCCGAGACGGCGGTTCACACTCCGAGGTCTGACAAATCCTCCCAAGCAGCGGCGGAAAGGCAGGAGGGTGCGTGGGCGGATTGGGGAGAAGGGGGAGGAGGCTCCTTCGATGCACGCGCGCGCGCGCACACACACACCGCAGAGGTGTTTTAAACAACACTGAAAAGCGGGCAGGGCGAAGGAAGGCGAAGACGCCAGGCCTAGAGTGGGTTAGCAAGAAGTGGGGTGAAAGTGGGAGAGAGAAAAAGCAAGAAAAGAAAAGAAAAATCATTGAAAGACGCGCTTCATCCGTCGGCAAGGCTCCCGCGTTGCAGGGGTCCCAACAGGGGAGGGGGGAGGCCAGGTATGCGCTCGGAAGGACGGGGACTGGACTGAAACCAGATTGGCGTGGAGGAAGGGGATCAGGGAGAGGTGAGCCGTGAGCCACGCAGAAGCCCGTCCGATCTCTAAAAACGCACAGCCATCCTTGTCCTATGTAAACATTGCGCTGGTTTGACGCATTTGAAGCACACACGCGCCCACGCACAACTTCCATTTTCTCTCTCTCTCTCTTTCCCTCATCACACTTTCTCTCCTCCCTCTTTCTCTCTGCCCCCCTCTCTCTTTCTCTTATCACTTTCTCTCCTCCCCCTCTCTTTCTCTCATCACTCTTTCTTTTCTCCCTCTCCCTCCCTCTCCCTCTCTAGCGCGCTTTCTTCTCCTCCCTCTGGATGCCCTCCGGGCAATCTGTACTACAATTCCCATCCTCCCCCACTTCCTTCGACCGACGCCTACTTCTCCTCTTCCCACGGAATGCAACCGGTCCTAATTCCCAACTTCGGATCTGCGACGCCCACCATCACCGCCCACCCCCCCCCCCCCCCAGGACTGCGCTGGAGGGGGGATGGGTGTTGTAGTCCGAGAGGGCTTAGGACACCCAGAAGGCGGAAGGCCGAGGGTCGAAGGCAGCTCGTTGGCTTCCAAGAGAGCGAAATACAACTTCCAGGGATGCTTAAGCCCCTATCCTCACCCACCCACCCACTCCAAAATACTCACAGGGAAGGAGGGTTCGAGAGAGGAACGCGGCTAGGGCGCGGGCGTTCCTCCGGCCGCACTCTGGCTGAATCTGGGGAAGGAGCGCGGCGCGTGTGTGTTTGTGCAACTGGGGTGGATGGAGGAGGGGGGAGAGAGACGAGACGAGACGGGGCTGCTTGAAACCCAACACAGGCGGCTTCCCCGGTCTTTATAGACCGCCCTCGTCGGAGGGGGAGAGCGACGTAGGCACAAACGCGCGTGGAAGCCAGGCAGGAAAGGGAGCGCTGCCCGTCGGGGGTAGGTTGGTTGGGCAGGCACGCGCGTGTGTGCCGGGGAAGCCGGGAGCAGCTCGCCCCGCCCCACGTGCCCTTCCACCTTTTACGACCCTCGCCGAGACACACGCGCCTTCACTCCCTCCTCCTCCTCCTCCTCCGCTTCCCTAGCCAAAGAAAGAGGCCGGGAGAAGTCGCTCAGGCGTCCCGAGCTGAAATCTGGGCCAGGGGAAGGGCGAAGAAAGAGAAAGGGAGGGGAGTGTCTTACTCCCTTTCCTCCTCCTCCTCCTCCCTCCTCCTCCTCTTCCCTCCTCCCTTTCGTTTCCTGGTTCGTTGGAGCGAGCCAAGCCCCCCCTGCGAAACCCCCCCCCCCCCCCCCCTCCCGCGGCACCCCCCCCCCCCGCCCCCCCCCCCCCTCCTTCCCCCTCCCCCCCCCCCCCCTCCGTTCCTGGTGACAGATCCTCTGGGCCCGGAGCAGTAGGGGATGCAGCTTGGCCGTTTCCGACACCTTCTTTTTATAACTCGGGTGCCGTCCCCCTCCGCACGACCTGTCAAGAACCACGCCTCTGGAGCCACCCAATTGGTCCAAAAGCGTCAAAGGGCCAATCAAGGCGCCCGCCGCCCCGCTCGGCAGCCCCGCGAAGGCCACCATACAACCCGGCGCAGCGAAGCGGCAGGGCTTAGAGAGGCTCACACCCGCGCGCAGCACGCCCGCCCTGCCACACCGGCGCACTCTCTCTCTCTCTCTCTCTCTCTCTTACACACACACACACAGACACACCCCGCCAGCAGAGCGCGCGCTCGCTCGCTTTCCCTCCCTCCCCCTCCCTCCCTCCCATCCATCCACACTCGCGAACGCGCGCGCACCTTTCTTCCCTCCCTCCCTCCCTCCCGGGCGCGGGACTCGGGGAAGCCGAGCGCGGCGGCGCTTCCTCTGGCTGGCTGCTTTGCAGAAGCCGAGGAAGGGAGGAGGAGAGGAGGCGGCGGGGGAGGAGGGAGGAAGGGAAGCGCCCGACTTAGCAACAAACTCGTTCCGGCTTCCTTCGACTGCGCAGCCGAGCCGAGCCGTCAATTTCATTCTCAAGGCTTTGCCCCAACCATCACCTCCCGAGTTCTTTCCTCGCGGGAGTGGCGGGGAGAGGGGGGGGGGGGGCGCCCCCCACACCTACCGGGGAGAAAGTGTGGGGGGGGGGGGGGGGAGAGGCCAGAAGGAGAGGCGAACCAGCCGGCTGGAAGGAGAAGAGAACGCCCGGAGACCGAGAAGGGAAAGGGCTGCGGGGCTCCGGGAGAAGACAGCTGCGCGGGGGCTGGAGGAGGCGCCAGCTTTTGGAGGATCCCGCATTTTTCCTCCCCGCCGGCTCTCCGGCTTCCTCGCCCCGTTCGGACGCTTCGATGAGAAGCCGCGCCGGCAAGCTGGAACAGAATGGCCTGGAGTTGAAGAAGGACTAAGTTGAAGCGGGAGGAGAGCCCACCCCGGCGAGGGAAAGGAAGGGAAGGGAAGAAGAGGAGGGTGGGGGAGATAGAGAGAGAGAGAGAGACCAGCAGCCCCAGACCCCGTGCGACCTCTGCGGCAGCAGGGACTGACCCCCGCAGCTTCTCCGGCCCCGTCCACCTCATCCCTTCGCCTCCTCCCTGCTTTTCCCCCTTTCTTCGTGGCCTTTGCCACTGCCGCTCGGCCAAACTTTCCCTCTTGTGTTCCCTTTCGCCGATGTAGCGGCGGCGGCGGCGCAAAGCCCAGAGGGCTCCGATCCTTGGCAAATCCTCTGCCAGGGATACAGCCCAGATCCTATTGCCATTAGCAGGAGGCGCATCAGATAAGACCCACGCAGAAATACAAGGCACTCAGGCGCGTGCGCTCACACACACACACACACACACACACACACACACGCAGAGAGGCTTCTTCCCAGCAAAGGGCGACGAAGCGCCGGAGCGCCGTTTCCCCTCGGCCGGGGGGCGGGGGAGCGGCGGGAGGACCATGGCTTCTAGCTCGGCGCCGGCTGCCTGGATCCCGCGGTGAGCCTCGCTTATGGTGGCTTCCCCCGAGCGGCCAGCCCTGTCCCTCGCTTCTTTCTCCCGCGGTGCCCCCGCGCTTCGTCCGGGCCGGTCCCCCCTTCTTCTTCTGCCAAGCGGAGGGAGCCGGGGCAGGGACTAGGCGGCTGCGAAGCCCCGGTGAAGGAGAGAAGGGAGGAGGAGGAGGAGAAGAAGAAGAAGACGCGGCGCCGGCGGACTCCGTTGGATGAGTTTCTCCATGCGAGAACCCGTGATCCCTGGGACCAGTATGGCTTACCACCCCTTCCTACCTCACCGGGCGCCGGACTTCCCCATGAGCGCCGTTTTGGGACACCAACCTCATTTCTTCCCGGCTTTGGCCTTGCCGCCCAACGGAGCTGCCGCCGCAGCCGCTGCCCTTTCCCTGCCCGGCGCTTTGACCAAGCCGATCATGGATCAACTGATCGGGGCGGCGGATTCGGGCCTCCCTTTTTCCACTTTGGGCCACCAAGCCGCGGCTCACTTGCGGCCTTTGAAAACGCTGGAGCCCGAAGAAGACGTGGAAGACGACCCCAAAGTTCACCTGGAAGCCAAAGAACTTTGGGAGCAGTTTCACAAGCGGGGCACCGAGATGGTGATCACCAAATCGGGAAGGTAAGCAGGCAGGCGGGCGACGGGGGTTGCTGCCCTTTAAGCCTTTCTTTCTTTCCACGCAGATTCTCTTGAGAAAAACTCCCGGCTGCTTCTCTTGCGGGAGGAGAGGGGGGAAAAAACAAAACAAAACGATCGGATCCCTCACCCAGGACTCCGCAAACTCGCCCTCCTTCTTGGTAGAAGGAGAGAGAGATCTGGCTGCATTCGGCGTCTCTCCGGGAGATCTTGCGGAGTTCGGAGTTTTTTTAAACTTTTACCACTGGATCCCTTCAGAAAACTCCACCAAAAAGAGCTGGGATGTGGCTTGTTTCCTTCCCAGGGAACTGGAGAAGGAAAAGCAAGGATGAATTCATCAACTCAAACCAACCAACAAACAAAATATTGCCTACAGCTCTTTTCCGGTCATTAAATATATTCTTTCTTTCAAAGAAATCCGCTTGGGTGCCTGGTGCTCACTTCCAAATGCAACTTTCCTCTACTTTCCAGAAAAGAAAGGAAAGGATCAGAAAAGGGAGGGTGGGAGGTTCTCCCCCCCCCCACACCCAATAAGGTTAGCTAGGATCTGGATGGTGGTTCCTTTTCTTTTGAATCCCAGTTTTTCAATCAGGTATAAGAGGCTCCCGCTCACCTAGGCCTCACTGTTAAATTCTGGCGCATTTGAAAAAAAAAAATATGGAAGAACAGATTCAAATTTTGGAGGGAAGGATTCGTGTTTTCCCCCCACTGTAATCGCCCCTCTTCCTCTTTTAAAACTTTCTGAACTTCGGTTGTTGTTTAAAGTAACAACAATCTGTTGTTTAAACAACTGCGATTGTTGTTTAAAGCAAAGGCGGCCTTTTCTGTTTAATGCATGCCTTAAGAATTAGGAAAAACCCAGCCGGTCCTTGAATTATTTCCTTCTAATGCCGGGAAGAAATATAATAGTTGGGATAGGAAGTTAGGAAGTGTCCTTCAGGTCTCAGAGGGTTATTGGGATTTATTAAGACCCTTTCAAAATGGTCTGAAATCAGGGAATCATTGGCGAAAAAGAAAACAGTTCAAAAATGATTCAAAGAGCTTTGCGGTTATTGGAGTGTTTTTGTGTGTGTTTTGGAGAAAATTGTTGTTTCTCAAAGGGAACCCAACAAGATTTCTATAAAGGGATTTTGGGCCTAGGTTCACTCTTAACCAGCAAAACATTTGCGCCAACCAGCAAAAGATAAAATTGCATGTTTGGAAATGTTATTTGGAAATCAGGGGGGAAAAAGGTTTGGAAAGCATGAAAGCCGAGGGCATGACATCCCCCAATGCGAGATATGGATATTATAAATTGATAATATTAATATAGCACCCTGGTTTTTCTTCCTGAAAAGACTTGAATGCCTTAGACTTGAACGCTCAGCCTTTAAGGAATAGGATTCCCTCTAAAATATGTGCATGCTACCAGCACACCTTATCTGTTGAATTTTCAAATGGTTCAAGGAAGGAAGGAAGGAAGGAAGGAAGGAAGGAAGGAAGGAAGGAAGGAAGGAAGGAAGGAGAAGGGAATGGAATGGAAGGAAAAAAAGGAGGAGAAAGGAAGGTAGGAGAAGGGAAAGGAAGGAAGGAAGGGGTGAAACAAAACAAAACAATGTAATATAACATAATGTTCACCTTGTTTGTCTCTAGGAGAATGTTCCCACCTTTTAAAGTGAGGTGTACAGGTCTGGATAAAAAGGCGAAATACATTTTATTGATGGACATTGTAGCTGCGGATGACTGTAGATATAAATTCCATAATTCGCGGTGGATGGTGGCTGGGAAAGCCGACCCCGAAATGCCGAAAAGAATGTATATCCATCCGGATAGCCCAGCAACCGGAGAACAGTGGATGTCAAAAGTGGTCACCTTCCACAAACTGAAACTGACCAACAACATCTCAGACAAACACGGATTTGTAAGTGCTTTTAATCCTCTTAATGAGTTTTCTCTGAACTCCTAATCTTCCCCAGTGACATAATGCTGATCTTCCTATAGATTATTATTATTATTATAAACTTTTATTCTTTAAACATGAAACTCAGTCAACTGAACATTTAAAAATGTTCTATTATTAGTATCAGTATTATTATTATTTACACTACTAGTAGTGGTGTAGTAGTAATATTAAAATATTATTGCTAGTAGTACTTTTAGCTATTTGCAAAATAGAAATTCAGGCCTATTGGAGAAATGGGGCAAAAGTTTACTTCTCTATCAGGATAAACACAGATTTGTAAGTGCTTTTAATTCGCTTTGTGAGTTTTCCCTGAACTTGTAATCTTCCTCCTGCCTTGACATAACACTGGTCTTGATGTAGATTATTATTATTATTATTATTATTATTATTATTATTATTATTATTAT